CCCATTATCCTCCTCCTCCTCCTCCTCTTCCTCCTCCACCTCCTCCTCCTCCTCCTCCTCCTCCGCCCCCCCCTCTTCCGCATTCGCAATATGTTCATCCTCCCCCACTGCCTCACCCGCGGACGTGCAACGAGTTGCCCTCTGCAGAGGACGGACCCGAGCCAATCTCGTTCGTTCCGTCTCGCCCACTCCGCCCCCGAACGACGTGGTCCACGAGGGTGCAGACGCGCCCGCCCCAGAACCAATCTCGTCGACACAGCCAGGAGACGCGTCGAGCGAGTCAGCGGGTCCCGCTCCCTCCCAGGCCGCCCAGGAACATCGGAACGAGCAGCGAGGCAGCGGGCACCCGTTCCTCCACGCACCCCCAGGAACAACGGAACCAGCAGCGAGTCAGCGGGCCCGGCTCCCTCCCCACCCGCCCAGCAACAATGGAACCAGCATGGCGGCGTCAGGAGAAAAACGTTCCCCAGACTGCAGCACTGGCGACAGAAACCCTAAGATCCGACGGTGCGAAAGAATGCGAAGCCGTGAAGAGTCGAAACCGGATGTTCGACATCCTAACGCTGCAGTTTTCGACCCCAGATCAATATGTGATGGTCCTGGGGCACGAAGCTGGGCGAACATGCTCGTGGAGAGAAGAGAATAGCAGCGCTCAGGGGGAAAGCATGGAAGTGCCAATCTGTTAAGGTTTGCTCTCTACACTCCTCCGAGGTCTGGCCCAGTGCGGTATTGCCATTCCGATCGTCTCGAAGCTGGCCCCCGCCTCGCTTTCCGCCGCCGTGCTGCACCAAACTGGCGGCGCTGGCAATGCCGTCAGCGCGCGCCGAGATCTGGCCACTGCATTATTTCAAATCACGGACGCGTCCGCCCAGCGTCGGGGCCCAGGGAGCATCAAACCTCGAGAATCCCAGATCCCCGACCTCATTTTTTTCATGACGTCGACCCCCAGAGGTTTCAACCTCTTCCGTTCCCCTGGACTGGCTTTTCATCATGAGTCGTTTTGTTGACGGTCCTGACGCCCGGGAAGGGCCTCCAGAGGCCGAACAAATTGTGAAAAACCTCCCGTCGTGATTTTTTCATTGCTCGATGGGGGTCTGGGAACGACCCAGAAAGTCTGGCCGGGCGAAAGGGGGGGATTGCAAAGGGGGGGGGGGGGAGAATCGGCTCACGTAGCTGATGTCCCCGGCGCCTCCCGGCGCCGGAGGCGCCCCCGTATCGAGGAATGGGCCCGGCGACGGGGCCGAACCAACTGCACGCAGCAGGCTTCGTAGCCCCCCCTCCCCTATCCCCCCCCCCTTCGTCCGGCCCGAGAAACGTAGGGTCCAGGGTTGGAAGCGAACAGGGGGCAGCGACTGCAGAAGCCCCTGAAGTGGGGCGGGCAAGAAAGCTGGGCGGCGTGACTTACCTTCTTTGCTGGTTCGCGTGGACGTCCGAACGACCGTCTGGTCGTGCTTGTGCGAAGGTCGCTGTTCTGCTCGCGGCGTCGGGCCCCCGGGCAGGAGCGGGGCCCCTGGCTGCTGGGCCGATCTTCCACCGACGCCACCACCAATAGGTATGGAAGGGAGGAGGAGGAGGAGGAGGAGGAGGAGGAGGAGGAGGAGGAGGAGGAGGAGGAGGAGGAGGAGGAGGAGGAGGAGGAGGAGGAGGAGGAGGAGGAGAGGAGGAGGAGGAGGAGGAGGAGGAGGAGGAGGAGGAGGAGGAGGAGGACGCGGAGGACCTTCCCGTCCCCCATCCCCCGCCCTACCTCTGGCAGTGGTGGGGGAAGATATGGCCAATCACCAACGATATGGCTTGCTGTATTGTGCGGCCCCAGAAGGCCCCAGAATTCCCCCGACCCTTTCCCTGGGGCCCTTGTTTCACCAGGGTGCGTGCCAAGGGACGCATCAGGGCAACAAGGGGCGCCGTGGAACGTATGTCGAGAGAGCATGACCCCGACCGAGATGTGCCCCCCCAGGCCCCCACCCCTTGGGCGGCAAGCGAAAAGGAGAGGTGAGAAGGGGCGGGCCTTCTCGGAAGGCTCGGGAGTCCCCCGGCCTTCTGATAAATTGTCGAAGCCTTCCGCGGAGGTGCAGAACATCTCCCAGAAGGCCCGAGGCCTTCTTAGAAACCCCGCCGCCTTCTGAGAGGACCTCCTCCTTCTCATTCCCCCCCTCGCTCGCCGCCGACCCCTGATCATCACCCCCTCTCGGCCGCCCCCTTCCCGACGGCCCCGCCCGCGGCCCGCGCCTCGCTGAGCCTCGCCCGCTGCAGCTCCAGCTGCCCAGCCAACGCCTGCTCCGATGGGGCTGCGTCACCGATCGGGCGCCGATGAGGTCAGCCCGCGCTGCGCGGCGAGGCGGGCGCTGCCTCCCTGGATCCTGTGACCTCGCAGCTCTTGAACCTTTGCGCGCGCAGGTCGGTCACCTTCGGCAAATCGCCGCTCTGGGTGGCGTCCAACTAGGACCTCGGCGGGCGTCCTCATGTCGTGGCCTGTCTCGCCCGGCGTCGATGGGGGGCACTGCGCGTGGACCGCGGACGCGAGGTCGACGGGAACCGCGCTTCCGACGGGCCGTGCACCGACGCGGCGGCCGCCCCTCGGGTGCCCAGATAAGCACTCGACGTCCTCGATCACCAGCAGCAAAAGCCGCCCCGGGCATCGGCGAGCGAATGGCGCTAGATCCTCGCCCGCCCGAGGAAGGGCCTGGCGGAAACTCGACTTCTCGTCGGTCGCCTCGCCCTCGCCCATGGCTGGCGATGATGCATTAATGCGCCGCTCGCCCAGCCTCGGACGCAGAACATCCTCTGGCGGGGCTTCCCGTACCTTCGCGCGGTGGCGCTCGGCCCTCTCGGCCAGCACCTCGCCAACCTCCGCGCCGTCGGCGCTGCTGCCTGCTCGCCTCGTGCCCGCTGGCTCGGGCGCCCCAGCGCTCTGCCTGAACTCCACCAGCTTCTTCTCGAGGTCAGGCCGTCTGACTCCCGAGGGTGGGAAGGCAGGCGGCGGCAGCGGAGCCCGCTCGGCGCCGTCGTCGTTGAAGAGGGGCGCCACGCCAGCGGGGTCGGCCTTCGGGGCATCGCCCCTCTCAGTGGGCGGTGGCGTCGCGGCACCTTGCTTAGACAGCGCGTCGGGCCTCGGGCGATGCGCGTCGATGCGCGCCTGCTCGCGGCCCGCGTCGGGGACCTCCACCTCGCATCCTCTCGGAGGCCCCGCTGCAGAAGTGGAAGGGCCCCCTTGTTTGCCTCCTGTGAAGGAAGCGAGTCAGTAGTTGAAGCCTGCGCCCTCGACGACGTCGAGGAAGACGGCGTCGAGGAAAGCGCCGTCCATCCCGTCGACGCTGGAAGCCTTGCCGTCCGCCTCCACGGGCAAGTGGCGCACGTTCCCGCTCGCCGCGCCGTGGACCCCGATCGCGTCGCCGCTCTTCACGACTGTGAGCGGCATATACCACGCCGTGGCTCGCCCCACGCAGGGCGGGGCGCTCACGCGGTTCTTCCCCCTCGCTCGCCCTCTTGCGATTCCCCAGGGCGCTTGCGAGACCTCGCTGCAGGGACGATCGATCCGCCCTCGGCCCGAAGCGTCGTCAGCGGAGTCCGTGCCTGGCCCTTGTGCGCTCCCCCGCACGCCGCGGGGCCCACGTCCTTGTGCCGTCTCGCCAACGGCCGCTGCTGACGCACCTCCAGCCTTGGCCGCGCTGGCTGGCCGCCGCCGCGGCTGCAACCCCGTCCAGCACGGCCGCCGCTGGCTCAGCCCTTCGCCGGCGCGGGGGCGCCTTGGGCCGCCGTGGGCTGGCGGAGGCACGCCCCTTCCCGACCATCCGCCGCCCGCGCCTGCGGGCTCAGCCCCCCGCGGGGCCCGCCGCGCTGTGAGGCGCTGGCGCGCCTCCACGCTCGCCGCTTGCCCCGCGAGGGGGCCAACGCACTGAGGGGCGGACCTGTGGGAATTTGAGTCTCCCGCGGCAGCGCCCCCTCCGCCGCAGCCCAGCCTGCCCGTCGGGCTGCGGGCCATCGCGCGCCACGCGCCGCCGCGGAAGCCCCGAGCTGGAAGCAGGCCTCTCTGCTGCAGGGCCGCCGTGGCGGGCCAAGGACGGAGAGGGGGCGCCGCGCGGAGCCGCTGTGGGCCACCTGAGCCCAAACAACTGCGGAGAAACCGTCGCGCTACTCTTTGTTCCCCGCCGTGCTTCCGCACGCTGTACGTGCTTCCTCGGCACCACCACCATCAGCAATCAGCAGCAGGAGCACCACCATCAGCAGCAGTGCATCCACACCACCCCGCACCGTTATCATCACCATCATCGTCATCGTCACCGTCGTCATCATCATCATCACCATCACCAACACCAACACCATCATCACCAACCATTACCGTTATCATCACCACTACCAGCATCACCACCAACATCGTCATCCGCCTAATCAGCATGAACACCCGCATTATCAACAACTCGATCATCATCCACAGCATGGGCATTATCATCAACATCATCACCACCAACATCATCATTATCATCATCATCACCAACATCATCATCATCATCATCATCATCATCATCATCATCATCATCAACCACAATATCATAATCCTCGTCGCTGTCATCATCATTATCACTATTACCGTCATCAACACTTCCATCATCCACGTCAACCTCAACATCAACCTCATAATCACACGTAATCAACACCATCAACACCATCATCATCATAGTCATCATCGCCGACAACAGTATCCTGTCTGTCCGGTGGCCTTTTCTTCATCCTTTTTCTGGGTCCTGTTCGGGCTCGTCCCCTCCTCTTCTGACCTCTCTCAATCAGCAACTTCGGGGAACCAGCCAAAAAGCCGAAACGTGACCAGGGTCTGGCGGATGTAGCGACGGCCTGTTGGAGCAGAACAGCTGGAGTTCCGATGCACGGCTGTGCTGCCAAGCCGCGGGCATGCAGTCTGAAGCAACGGATGAGACAAGACATCAACACATGGATGAAAGCGTTACTGATGGGCACAACAATCAGAACACAACAAGCGAACGCAATTAGTCGATCGATCGCGTGTGATAAATACGCCCAAGGAAGAAGGGTGACAAACAGAGCTGGTCCAATCATAATGTAAATGGCTGCATGGTAGATACGAAGAGTGCCACAAGCGAAAGACTGCATCTGGACACCTGCACACCAATCCAGCCGTGTTGTCCGCGCGACTTATCTATGTCACGCCGGCCGTGGGAAGACCCACGATGCTAAGACGGACTGGATCAGGGCTCATCGGAGAATCAAGACGCACCAGCAGAAAAAAACAGCTCAGATCGGATTGGGCTGCGTTGCACCGAATCGCGCGCAGACCTATAATCTGCGACGATTCTCATCTGCGCCATCAGATTATTCCACATGCGGATTATTCAATAGTGCACGCTCCACGGCACGAGGGAGAAACACTGCCCGCCCGTAAGCAGTATGGGTCGACCTTTGCGCCGACTACCCAATCACAGGGTGCCCTCATTGAGATACGCGTAGGGGGTAGATCACTCGTTGTATGTTTTATGCCCTTTGGTACGTCCTGCAGTGCCATTCCTGTAGCTTCACGACGCCCTACAATATGTTCACAATCCAGGAACTCATCTGTATGGCGGTTCCCCCCCGGCACCCCTCGTACACTTGACATAGCCGTGTGCGGTGCCCTTCCTGCACTTGCAGCCCTTCGCCCTCCTCACCTTCCTTGCCACCCTCACTAAACATTCCTCGATCCTCTTTCTCTGCCCTGCCCCTCCGTTCAGTCAGCGATGCGCAGGCGACGTCGGGATAAACACGATCGGGCTCCCGATAACAACGATGCACTGCCCGTGCGGCGAGGTCCTCCGCCCCCACCCGATCCGGCCCCATTTGGGAGGTCTCTGGGTGCCCCTGGAAACTTCCAAGCCCTATACCCGCCACCGTGCACTGGGCCTCGGGCCCCTGAGAGAACCTCAGGATGTTCAATAGCACGTGCTCCTGAAGGGGCTCAGCCCTCGGATGTCCGCCATTCCTGGGCCCCTGCGAGGAGGAGAAGGCGGATTCATTTACAGGGAGGTGAGGAAGAAGAGGAGGAGGAGGAGGAAGAGGAGGAGGAGGAGGAGGAGGGGGAGGAGGACGACGGCGCTGTGCGAGATCCCCACCGTGACTTCCTCAGAGGCCTCGGGAGGCGTGGCGGGTACTCCGCACCTCCAGCATGGCCTCAACAGGTCTTGCTGGGCCTGTCGTCCACCACCATCATACGAAGTTTGAGGGGGGAGGGGGGTGGAGGACGAGGAGGAGGAGGAAGAGGAGGAGGAGGAGGACGAGGAGGAGGAGGATGTGGAGGACGAGGAGGGGGAGGACGAGGAGGAGGAGGAGGAGGAGGAGAACCCCCTCCCGATCCAACTTATGGTGGTGGTGGGAAAACAGGCCCATCAGGTCCGAAGGCCCGTCCTCTGGAGCCTTCTTTGGGGGCCTCTTCGGCCGCGATGGAGGGAGGCCCTGGTGGCCGTCTGAACCTCTGGGGACTATTTTTTGAGTATTGTTTGGCATTTTTTTGGGGTGGGGGTCTTTTTTTATTTGTCGTCGACAATCAATCCCCCTGTAGGGGGACAGGCCCGAATTTAATCTGAACCCGAGAGGCCCAAACCACTAAACCTTTTCAATCCGTTGTGTGCGGGTAAAACTTGTGTCCATATCAACTGCAGCTTGTGGTCTCGGGCTCCCTTCCCCAGAAAGCCGAGGAGCACTGGATATGGATAAGAATCAGGCCCATACTAGAGGCTCGAATTTTATCCATATCCAATGCGCCTCGGCCTTGCGGCGCCCCTTCCACGAAAAAACAAGATGCCCTGGATATGGATACAAATATTGCCCGCATTGTGAATGAAGCATTTACAGATTCTGCGTCCTCGGAGCGTCCAAGACGGCCAAATAGACTCCCAGTGCCCCTCCAAGACGGCCCACGAGGGCCCCCAAAGCGGCCAAAGAGCGGGAACTCGAACTGACTTCAAACTCTCTTGTCGTGTGTGAGGGGCTTGGCTGTTCGAGTCGTCGTTTCCGTCCGTCGTTGTCTCCGTCGTCCCCTTTCCCTGCACCCCTCCTCCTCAAACTTGTGAGCGAGAAAGAAACTAGCAATGTCGTAGTCGAGTGGAAGGGAAGCCCCTTCCCTTTGATCCCCACGCCCGGGGGAGGGGGTCCCAGAGCAGTTCTTGGGGGGGTCGCCACCCAGATATGTTTCCCCCTCTGGGGGCCCTGGGGCCTCAGAAAGTACCAAAAAAGGCCAAGATTGCCCCAAGAGGCTGCCGAGACGGTCTAAAAGGATCCCCAATCGCCGAACGATCTGTCCAAAACGCCTTCACGCCCTCTAGACTGCCCAGGAAGCCTCCAGGACGCCCCAAGACGCTTCCAAGAGCACTCCCGAGAGGGCCCCAAGAGGCCAAATTCATTGATTTGTCATTGGATTTTGAAAGAGCGTTCTCGCCCTTTCCACTTCCCGCCGCTCCAAAACGGCGCCGCAGGCCCTCAAGATCTTCCCAAGACGGCCCCAGAGGCTTCAAACAGGGCCCGAAAACAGCCCAAGAGGACCCCAAGACAGCCCAAACCGCCTCCAACCCAAGACGGCTCCAGGAGCGTGCCCAAACGGGGGACCCGAACGGACATGTCGAGCCTTCGGCCCCAAGAGGCTCCCAGGAGGCCCCACGAGGTTCCCCAGAGGCCCCAAGAGGCCCACAAGAGGTCCCCAGGAAGCCCGAAGAGGCCCCCAAGAGGCTCCCGAGAGGCTTCCGAAGAGACCTCAAGAACCATCCCTGAGGATCCTGGCCAGCGTCAACGTCGTCGTCGTTGCCGCCGCTGCCGCCGTTGTCGTCGTCTTCGTCGTCGTCGTCGTCGCCTCTTCAGGGTTGGCGGCACCGGCCGCAAGGCCTTCGCAATACACTCCCACTGACTCTCCAAGACGGCCCCCGAGGGACCAAAAAGCGGCCAAAGAGCGGGAACTCAACTTGACTTCAGGCTCTCCCCCCGAAGACGGCGCCCGAGACCACCACAAGGCGCCCAAGAGGACCCCACAGAGGACCCGAAGAGGCCTTGACCCTCCTCCTCATCTCCCTCTTGCCCATTCTCATTTCTTTCTCCTCCATTCGTGTTTCTTGATGAATCACTCAACCCCGTCGCACCCCGAGGCCAATCGGAAGGGCTGGCCGGGCGTTTCGCCGGACACTTCCTTACCATTTATGAGCATGAAGCGTAACAACCGGCAGCGGCATTACACATTGAGGGCGGGTAGTGTTCAAAATGTTGTTCTCGCCGCCTTAGCGCCACGCTCACTCGTCTTACAATTGCGAAGGTGTAACGGGTTGAGGAGGCTCTTTTTCAAAATGTGGCTCTCGCCTTAGCGCCGCGCGCATTCTTTTAACAACTTTACGGGTCGGTGATGGCTCGTTTTCAACATGTTGCTCTCGCCCCAGCGCCGCGGTCATTTTTGAACACATGTCAGCATTTCACGGATGAAGGCGGTTCCTTTTCAAAATGTGGATCTCGCCATAGGCGCCGCGCGCATTCATCTTCGCGGGTTCTCAGGAATGGTGTCTTCTAAAGGCTCAGGTTTGTCAGGGCGCAACAGTTTCGTGACTAGCGGCGTTGGAGTCCCGGGAATGGTGTTCTGGCACGATTTAGGATCGTCAATGCGCAACAGTCAGGTTGAATCGTGGCGTTGAAGTCATGAACTTAATGTGTTGGCGCGCTTCAGGATTTGTGCACGGTCGTCTCCCCACGGGGCACTTCAATCAGTGGAAATAATTCCGTGTGTGGGGACTAGACGAGGGAGCTTGGAGGGAGGGTGTATCCCAAAATGCTGAGTCTTTGGTCTACGCTGGTCCACTTCCTCGTCCTCCTCCTCCTCCTCCCCCTCCTACTCCTCCTCCTCCTCCTCCTCCTCCCCCTTCCTCTCTTCCTCTTCCTCTCCTCCTCCTCCTCCTCCCTCCTTTCTCCTCCCTCCGCCCTGCTCCTCCTCCTCCTCCTCCTCCTCCTCCTCCTCCTCCTCCTTCTCCTCCTCCTCCTCCTCCTCCCCCTCCTGCCTCCTCTCTCATCCCTACCCCCTGCTCTTCCCTCCTCCTTCTGGTGCTCCTACGTCCTCCCTCCCCGAGCAGACGAGCGGCGAGGCCTCGACGGTCAACCAAGACGGGGGGCTGGCGCAGCGGCGACGGCGCCAGCCGATCGTCGACGGCAGCTCGTTCGAGACCGCGGAGCTCGGGCGGCGGGTGGCGGCCGCGCGCTGCGGCGCCGCCTGCGGGGCCGGAAGGCGGTCGCTCTGTGCAGGCCCCCCATGGATGGGGGCCTCTAAGAGCATCGTTGAACCGATTCGGGGGCGTGCAAGCATGGATCTGGCGCGCGGTCGCCAGATCCATGGGTCGGGGGAAGTGCACTCCCCAAAATGCGGCCGGTGCCGCCTTGCTCGGCGGCGGAGAAACGCGATTTCCCATGGAAACGGGACCCGTCGCCAATCCACGCCCCCGTGATCCATGTTTGCGATCGCCTGGCCGATCCCTAACCCCACTGGCGTGGCCTGAGCCCTACTGGCCGATTTGCCCCCTACATGGGGGTGCGGGCTGTCCCCGTCGGGTTTCGAAGGGCAGATCCCCAACTGGGGTGGTGGGGTGGTGGGTATCGGGATGGGGATGGGTATTGGGATCGGTTGAACGATGCTGACTCCTAATGCGGGTTCCGAGTAGAGTGGACTGGAGAATTGCACCGCTTCGCCGATGCATAGGCGGTGTATCGGTGACGTCGGCGATGCCGGCGACAGCGGGGTGGAGAACGTCGGGCTCAATATCGAGCGCATCGTCGATGCATTCGCGATGCGGCGCCATCCTCCGACCCCGTCTACTTTGACAACATCTGGGATGCTTGGAATTTCAGGAGGTTGCTCGGGCTTTCGATGGTTCGATGCGTCGAGAAGTCTCGATCCTCGAACGCCTCGAAAACCTAAAACGCTTCGACGCAGCGGAACCCCCAAACCCCCGAAACTCGGTGACTCGAAACCGACGGGCCCTCCCCAGCGCGCTCGCGTTACAAGGCGGCCCTTCTGCGCCCCCCCAAGGACTCCCAAGGAGGAGAGGGAGTGAGCAGATGAACGACATCGGCATAAACATAAACCTTCGGCGCCCCGGGCGGATTTTGTGGATCTGCGCTGGATCCCCCCCCACGCGGCGCGGGGCGCGCCAGGGGCGGCGCCCCGGGCGCCGCCAGGGGGTCCCAGCGCGGGTCCGAGAAATCCGCGCGGAGCCCCGAAAATGCATGTGTATTAAGTGTTTTCGGTTTTTGTTCCTCTCTCTCTCTCTCTATCTCTCTTTATCTCTCTTTTTTTTCGAAAGGAGCAGAGGGATCAAGGGGAAGGGGAAGAGGAGGAGAGGGAGGAGGAGGAGGAGGAGGAGGAGGAGGAGGAGGAGGAAGAGGAGGAGGAAGAGGAGGAGGAGGAGGGGGGGGTGAAGTTGGGAAGGGCCAAGTCCTGAGTGAAGAGGGAGGGGGGAGAAGACAAGGGAGGGAGGGAGAAAAAGGGAGGGAGAGGGAGTCCCTCCTCCTCCTCCTTCTCCTCTTCCTCCTCCTCAATATTCCTCCTTCGTCCTGCCTCCAGCAGCCGCGCTGGTTGGTGCTGGGCTGGGCCGGGTTTGGGGCGCGGGCTCAACAAGGGATGCCTCCTCCCCCAGGGTGGCTCCGTGCGCGCACTTGCCTCCTCCCCCAGGGATGCCTCCTCCCCCAGGGATGGCTCCTCCCCCATTGCCGGAGTCTCGCACTTGCGTCTCCTCGCCGTGCGCTGACAGGTGCAGCGTTCGGGGAGTGGGGCTGAGCCCCAAGCGCGGGCAACCGTGCGCTGTCGACGGCCCCTCTTGGTCCGCCCCACTCCATGCGACCAGGGCGAGTCGCCCGTCTAGCTGTCAACCAGTCGAAGGGTTCCAGCAGAGGGCCTCCGCCTGGTCGCTGCACGGTCGCTTGCGTCGCCCTCCCCTGGGCCCGCTGCCCCCTGTAGAAATGGGAGAACGCCCGAGGTCTCCGCATGCCGCCCCAGCGGGGGAACGCCAGCCAGACAGCCTCCTCCTCCTTCCCTCCCTCCTCCTCCTCCTCCTCCTCTCCTCCTCCTCCTCCTGCTCCTCTTCCTCCTCCTCCTCCTCCTGCTCCTCTTCCTCCTCCTCCTCTTCCTCCCTCCTCCTCATCCTCCTGCTCCTCTTCCTCCTCTTCCTCCTCTTCCTCCTCTCCCTCCTCCTCTAATTCCTCCCTCCTCCTCCTCCTCCTCCTCCTTCTCCTCCCCAACCTCATCCTCATCCTCCGCCTCCTTGCCCTCCTCCTCTTCTTCCTCCTCTCCGTCTCCTCCTACTCCTCCTTCTCCTCCTCCTCCTCCTCTTCCTCCACCTCCTCCTCCTCCTCCTCCTCCTCCTCCTCCTCCTCCAGCTCTTCCTTTTCCTCCTCGTTCCCCCCTTTCTTTTTCCCTCCCTCCCCCCATGGGGGCCCATCGGCCTCTAAGAGAGCCTTCCCATGAAGGCCACATAATGACGACCCATCGGTAAGCTGAGACAACCGGCGCCCTTCCTCCAGGGGAGGAGGCAGGGGGGCCATGATACTCACCTTCTCCGATATGCAACGCGCAAGCCGTAGCGTGCTGACACGAAGCTGAAAACGTGGACTGAAAGCGAAGGCCTTGCGCGAACCGGACGCCCAAGAGTGGCCCAACACGTGCCGAACCAACACGCAGCATGTCGACACAGACGCTTATGAACACGGCACGCGCTGCGTTTCACAAGGGGCGTGCCGGGGCAGCCCACGGGCCATGCTGTCCCAGGAAGCAGGCGGGTGCGCGGGAGGCGTTGGCGGCCGCCTCTCCCTCCGTGGCCCGGGGTGCCAGACACGCCCCTGCGTGCCTGGCCTTCGGTCGGGCATGTCCTCCTACAGGCGGATTTTGGGGCGAAAATTTAAAAGAGCCCCAACATATGCAACAAATGACAATAATATTGGGTACATCGTCCCCAGACTATGTTTCGTTTTACTCTTTGGGAATACTCCTTACTCCTCATGTAGAGGGGCATGCCCGACTTACGCCTGGCCCTGCCTCGGGCACGCGGCGTGGCCGCGCAGGTGGAGCAAGAGGGGTGCGGCCGCCTCAGCAAGGGGCCCGAAGCAAGCGGGGGGGGTGGGGGGGCATGCCGAGACTGGCACGCGAGACGCAGGGGGTGGGCGACGAAGAGGTGGGGGAGACGAGCTTCTTGCTCGGGCGCGGGCGGGAGTCGAGCGCCAGCCCCCCGGCGCCAGGCCCGCCGGAGGCGGCGGAGGGCCCGAGGAGCGAGGCGAAGCGAGGGCCAAGGAAGGACGGCCAGAGGGGGGCGCGGAGGGCGAGGAGGCGACGCGGAGAGGGGCGCCGGGGGAGGGGGGGGCCGGGGAGGGGGGAGGGGGGGGCCGGGGCGGGGAGAGAGGGGGGCCGTGACGCCCGCCGCCCGCCACTTTTTGCGGGCTTCCCTGGCAAGGGCGAGAAGGGGAGGGCAAGGAGGAGGAGGAGGGGGGAGGAGGGGGAGGAGTAGGAGGAGGAGGAGGAGCAGCAGCAGGAGGAAGGAGGAGGAGGAGGAGGAGGAGGAAGGAGGAGGCGGAGGAAGCAAAGGAGGAGGATGATGTGTTGGCCGCGGCGCAGCATGCAGCCCGCGCGCCACCTCAGGGGAGCTCTAAGAGGCAGGCACGAAGTTTATACCCGCGCACAAAGGCCTGCCTGGCGCCACCAGGAGGGGCCGTTCTGGACTAGAACGGCCCCGTTCTAGCCAAGAACGGGACCGTTCTAGGCTAGACACGGAGGGTGCTGTCTCGGGGCAACCCTGGTAGAGGACCCGACCCACGACTCCTCCACGCACACTGACAAGCAGGGGCATTCCCCCACATGTCTGCACAGTGCCGCTGCCACCGCGGCGAGGGGAGCAGCGTGCTGGCCCCAACCAGCAACGCATAAGAGGACACGACGGGCGAAGTCCAGCCAGGCATCACAGGGTAGGGCGGGGCGGGTACAGACTCGGGACAACCGCAACACAGGGCCCAACCACCGACCCCACCCTCTGACAAGACAGATATGGAGCAGGCTCCCAGATGCGCCTCATCAGCGTCGCTGTCTCCGCGGTGAAGACTGATGCGCGCTGGCTCTGGCCAGCGACGCCCGAGATCCTCAGGCGGGCTCGAAGTGGCAGCCGAGAGGAGGTGCTGGGCCAATCGGCCCAGCGCCTCTCGTGAGCATCCTCCTCCGCCAAGGCTGAAGAGGAGGAGGAAGAGGAGGAGGAGGTGGAGGAGGAGCAGGATGAGGATGAGGAGGAGGAGGAGGATGAGGAGGAGGAGGAGGAAGAGGAGGGAGCGAAGGGGTGTGAAAACGGGGAGGAGGGGCGGGAGTGGAGGGTGAGGAGGAGGATGAATGTGCGGCGCCAATGAAGGGAATGGGGGGAGAAGGGAGCGGAGGGAGCGGAGGGAGCGGAGGGAGCGGATGGGGAGGAGGAGAAGGGAGCGGAGGAGCAGGGCGGGGGCGAGAGGTGGGGAAGACAGGGAGAAACAGGAGGAAGAGGTGGAGAACGAGGCGTTCGGCCACGATTCGAGGGAGTAGAACGGCGTTGCTACGATCCGGTAAGACTGCGCCCCAGGAGCTGTAGAAGGGGGCGCCTGACCTCACGACGGACATGGCCTCGAGGCAGGGATGCGGGACGCTGCCCAGGCCTCGAATGGACTGTCGCTCGCGAGCTCCAACGAGGCAAGCGGCTCCACGATGTGCGTGCGAATCCGCGCCAATCGAACAAAATGCTGAATCGCTTCGGTCTTCGCGGCATCCCGACGCCGGAGAGTCCAGAATCGATTCGAGAATTCGGATCGGCGATCGACATGAATCGAACCGGCGGAAATCGGCAGACGAGTCGGGAGGAGCCGCCTCGGCGGGAAAAAGCGGCAGGCTGGTGGGCCTCCATGGAGAAATCGGCGCGCAACTCGGACCCCGAAGCCGAGTCGAGTCGGAGGCGGAAGCCACCGACATCGAACCGAATCGCACCGGAGGAATCGGCATGGGCCCTGCAAACGGGTCGTGGGCTGGGGCCCAGCCCGCGGCGCACGCACGGCATGTTGCCAACGCGGGCGTCAACTCTGCAGGGTGCGGAGCGGGAGCCGGGCAGCGAGCCGCCAGGGCGCCTCCTGGGCCTGCGGAGTGGACGGCGTGCAGCGGGCCGCCGGCCGGGTCGACGCCGACGAGCAGGCAACGGCGAACACGAGAGGAGGATGGAAGCGCGACCCCCCCCTTCTGGCCATCGCTCGAACGTCCATGTCCTGTGCTTTTGTCGGTTTCGTGCGTGTTTTTTTTGTTGCGAAATGATCAAGGATGCTCTTCGATGGTCCTCGCCGAAGGAAAAATGCACACGTCCGAGCGATACCAATCCCTGGAGAAAGACATGACGAAACAAAAGCTTCCGAGGGTCCGCGCGGAGCTCTGGCGTCTGACGCTGGATCCCCAGCCATGGCGCGCGGGGCGCGTCAGAGGGCGGCGCCCGAAGCGCCGCCAGGGGGGCCTGGCACCGTTCCAGGGGATCTACGCGGACCCTCGGAAGGTTACATCAACGCAGGTCTTTCTCCCTCGGCCCCCCTCGACTGGTGGAAGAAGCGGCGCGTCTCTGCGGCCTGCACGTCAGAGCGACGCGAGGAAGCTGTCGAGCACGTCGTTGCTGCTCTCCTGGCCGGGGAGCCCGGGCAACGAGCTGCAAGAGCACATCTGCGGCGCGTGAGGCCCAGGATGTGCGTGTGTGCGTGCGTTGCTGCGTGCGTGTGTGTGTGTATATATATATATATATATATATATATATATATATGTGTGTGTGTGTGTGTGTGTGTGTGGCCGCTCCCCCCCCCCTCGGCGCTCCCCCCGCCGCAGCAAGCAGCTCTGAATGGCCCCGCTTCCTCTCTTCCTGTCGCGCCGGGGCTCCTCAGCCTCCTTCCGTGGAATGCGGCCTGAAGTTGCATACTGCGTGTCCCCTGTTGCCACTCCGCCGGAGCAGTCGCCCTCTGCCCAGCCGCCGACGCGAAAACAGTGTGTGTGTGTGCGTGTGTGTGTGTGTGTGTGCGTGTGTGTGTGTGTGTGTGTGTGTCTGTGTCTGTGTGTGTGTCTGTGTGTTTGTGTGTGTGCGTGTGTGTGTGTATGTGTGTATGTGTGCGTGTGTGTGTGTGTGTCTGTGTGCTTGTGTGTGTGTGTGTGCGTGTGTGTGTGTGTGTGTGTGTGTGTGTGTGTCTGTGTGCTTGTGTGTGACTCCTGTGGGGATGCAGTCCCTCTAGCACACCCCCAACCGCTTCACTTCACAGTGTGTGATGTCTCGTGCGCTGTGCCTTCGACAACGCTCGATCGCGATTCGCACTTCGCTCTGCTGCCCGCGCTTGAGGACCACCTGCGCCGCTGACGCAAAACATCGCGTCATCCTTGTCGCCTGCACGGCGCACAACTCTGGGCGCCGTTTCCCCGACCTGCTCCCCGCGAGCGATGCTGTCGATCCCCTGTGGGCGGATCCAGAGTCTCCACGCCGCGTGACCTGGGCGGGCCGCGCGCGTCTCTTCGCCCGTCTTTCTGGGCCGCGCCGCTGCGCGCGTGGCGGCAACGCCAAAACGCGTGTGTGTGTGTTGTGTGGTGTGTGTGTGTCGTGTGAGTGTGTGTTGTGTGTCGTGTGTCGTGTGTTGTGTGTGTGTGTTTGCGTGCGTTCGTGCGCGCGCGCGTGCGTGCGTGCGTGTGTGTGTGTGTGTGAATGTGTGTAAGGTCTCTGCCGAATTGTTGTTCTGCGTGCCTGCGTCCCCTCGTGCAAGCCACGCTTCGGCATTGTTCTCTGCAAGCTTCGGCTCGGTCAGTCCGCCAACCTACAGTGGGGGCCCGACCACAAGAAACCTTCCCCCAGAAACCCACCCTTGAGACCCCAGGACGTCCGCCGATGTTTGACGTCGGAGCGTCACGCTCTCCATAGCAAAACCATCGAAGCCCAAGAAGCCAAGGGCACCCTGGAGGCGAGCAGGGTGTTTCTTGCGTCACGCTCTCCATGGCAAGACCATTGAAGCCCAAGAAGCCCAGGGCACCCTGGAGGCAAGCAGGGTGTTTCTTGCGTCACGCTCTCCATGGCAAAACCATTGAAGCCCAAGAAGCCCAGGGCGCCCTGGAGGCAAGCAGGGTGTCCCTTGGCAAGGGCCCCCACTTTACAGCGCCAGGGGTGGATTCGACGAAGCGTGCCGTGGTTCTGTAAGCCTCGCGGCGGTGCGGCCACCTCGCCGCTGGAGGCAAAGATGCAGAGAAGGCCCTCGGACAGCCCCTCGGACACGCCTGCGGCGCCATCGGGCCAGCAAAAGCAATGGAATTAGGTCGGGCGTGTCCCCCTACAGGCGGAACTTGGATGGAAAATCAAACATTCTCATGATTACATACATGTATATAAATGTATACATGTTTATATATATACATGTATAAATATAGATTTACATGTAGACATATACATGTATAAGAAAACCATCCTCAAACAACATTCAACAATTTGTCCCCAGACTATGTTTTGACTATTTCTGAATACTCCTCCTGTAGAGGGCCATGCCCGACTTTAGGTTTGAAAAGGTCTGTGGCTGGAGGTGGGCCGACCAGGCAACGATGCGAGGGTGGCTATGGTCAAGCGTTGCGTCTGGGACGAGGATCTGCTCACAACCATCCCGTCGGGGGTTCAGCACCCACCGGAGACAGAAGGAGGAGGAGGAGGAGGAGGAGGGAGGAGGGGGGAGGAATGTAGATTTGCGTACGGGTATCGCGTTGTGCATCGGCGTGGGCATGGGCCCTCGACATGCGGCGGTAATATGGACGCATTCCCCCCCCCTCCCCGTGCGGCCCCAGATATATCCATGCCCCTCGCATGCCGAGGCCCCCGAAATTCGATTTCCAGGCGATAACTATGGAAACTCTCCGCCTCGGACTACTTCCTTACCACAGGCTCCGACTGCAGAAGCACCCATGCAGATGCACCATTACACGTCGAGGGGAAGAAGCAGCCATAGGCATGAAACGGGAGGGCCTTGAAAGTAGACTAGGCTTCGCTCCGCCTCCGGGGAGGGAGGGAAGAAGGCAGGCAATGCGACCCTTGCGGTAGAGGGCGCTTGAAATGGACCTGGGCCAGAGATCACCGAAGCATGCGCGTGCACTGCGTGAGTGCTCCCGCGGAGACCGGCGCGCCGATGGCAGCAAGCTGGCGCCACGAGTGCCCGAAGCGCCCATGCGGACGAAGCACGCATGACTGAAGGGGACCTGTGACACACACATAAATAAACACAAATAACGGGATTCCCCATATCATCACATATTTGGGGGATTTTCGTCTTCCCCCCCCACTTCCGATATTTTCGCATATTTTCCTTGGAATCGACGATTCATTGTGTCTGTGTGTGTTTTTGTTTCCTCATGAGCATGACGCGCAGGCGGACGCAACGCCCTCTGCGCGAGAGCACGCCTGCGCACCCGGGGCGCGGGGGGGCCGCAGAACGGCGCCACGAGAGGACCCGGGCTGGGGCTCGAGGGGCCGGCTGGCCCTCTGCGTGGGGCTTCCGGGCACTCAGCACGTGACTTGTTCTGTGCCAGGGACGGCTCACTCCGATGCAAGTCTTAAGTCGGGCCTGTCCGCCTACAGCGGGATTTTGGACGAAAAATGAAGAATAGTCAAACAATACCCCCCGATGGTCAAATATATGTTTAAAAATCGTCCCCAGACAATTCCTGAAACTATTTTTGGGATATTCCCCCCGCAGAGGGACAGGCCCAACTTAACCCAGGTCTTGCCAGGAGGATAATGAAGTTGAGAAGCGAAACCCATGTTGCACTGGTGGCGGCCAGACTTACGAGGAGCGCCCGAGGGAAACACCTGAGAGGTGGCCCAAGCACAAAACTTGAGCAAACCAGCACAACAAAACTTGAGCAAACCCACTCCTCTTGTTCAAACTGTTCCTGTCAGCATCCCTTGGGGTGGCCTCGTTGACAGAGGCAGCGAAGGCGAAAACGGCACCGACCAGCTCCTTCTTCCACACAAGCAACAAATATGTTTTGGAGGGGTACCTTCCCTTTTGTTACAACCAACCTGTGTTGTTGGGTCCTCGTTTTGAAAAGACGGTCCCCGCATTTCCTCCTCCTTCCTCCTCCCGTGCCCCCCCCGGTCCCAGTGGGGTGTACCACATGCGTCTCCCTCACCCAGCACGGCGCTTCGTGGCCCCATAGGGAGGTCCACCTAAGGCCCCCGTGGCGCAGTCCGCATGCGTCTCCCCCACCCAGTACAGCGCTTCGTGGCCCCATATGGAGCCCCACCGAAGGTCCCCGTGGCGCAGTCCGCATGCGTCTCCCTCACCCAGTACAGCGTTTCGTGGCCCCATATGGAGCCCCACCGGAGGTCCCCGTGGCGCAGTCCGCATGCGTCTCCCCCACCCCGTACCGCGTTTCGTGGCCCCACATGGGCTCCGCCGACGGTCCCCGTGGCGGAGTCCGCATGCGTCTCCCTCACCCAGTACAGCTCTTCGTGGCCCCATATGGAGCCCCACCGAAGGTCCCCGTGGCGCAGTCCGCATGCGTCTCCCCCACCCAGTACAGCGCTTCGTGGCCCCATATGGAGCCCCGCCGAAGGTCCCCGTGTCGCAGTCCGCATGCGTCTCTCCCACCCAGTACAGCGTTTCGTGGCCCCATAGGGGCTTCGCCGAAGGTCCCCGTGTCGCAGTCCGCATGCGTCTCTCCCACCCAGTACAGCGCTTCGTGGCCCCATAGGGGCTCCGCCGAAGGTCCCCGTGGCGCAGTCCGCATGCGTCTGGGTCGAAGACAAGTAGGACCCCCTGGGTGCAAGCACTGGTTCGGGAATATTGTGCTCTGGGAAGTCGCCTGTTCTGCTGCCAGGGGGCCCAACTCCGATTCGGGATGACCTCAAGATTGCCAAAGTCTGCCCCAGGGTGGTTCCGAAGGAGCCTGAGCTGCCCCACCCCAACACAGAGACCAGGACCTCCGATGCCGACTCTGTTGGCGGTCTGTGAGCACCGGAGCTGTCGGGCCCTTCCCCCGCAGCGTGTGCCTCGTCCTGGGCCCTCCCTGGCGGCCCCGGGGGGCCGACGCGGGCCCCCCGAAACCCACGGCGGCGCCACCGGCAAAAGCCGTCGCGCCTTCCCCGTGGCGCCCGAGGCCTGGGTTTAAGTCGGGCGTGTCCCTCTACAGGGGGAATGTTCAAAATAGAAAAAAAAGTCGTCTGGGGACGATGTTTTGACTATTTCTGAATATGTTTGGGGTATTCCCCTACCTAGGCTCTGCCTAGAAGGGTTCTTACTCGGTGTGTTGAAAGGGCCAGGCAGTGGGGCCCGCCCCGGGCGGTTCCCACTGCCTCCGCCCCGCGGTTCCCCAGTGACGTTTCCTTAGCTTAGCGTTGCTTATCTCATCTCAGCTTAGCTTATTTCATATAGCTTAGCTTAGTTTCATCTTAGCTCGGGTTTATATTAGCTTAGCCTACCTTCATCTTAGCTTCGCGGAGCTTTAGCATAGCAGAGCACAGCATAGCATAGCGCAGCACATCATGTCATACCATAGCCCAGCATAGCATAGCATAGCGCAGCATAGCATAGCATAGCATAGCATAGCATAGCGCAGCACAGCACAGCACATCATAGCACAGCGCAGCATAGCATAGCAGAGCAGAGCAT